TTATTTTTATTCACTGGGTTTATAAGCTGTACCAATCAAACTGATTCTTTTATAAGGGATATAAAACAAAAAGACACTTAAAAAAAAAAACACATTTAAGTGGGGACTCTTTTATTTCCTGAGACCAACACCACCAGCTTTGCCACTAACCAGTTCTTCATTGCCTTCCCTGCAACCATTTTTTTTGTCAGGCACTGGTCCCTTTCAATTTCCTACCAATTTTATAGGATAGAAATATGTTTTTTAAATAAAATTTAGACGCTATTGAATTCTGTACCTTAAGAATAAACTTGAAAAACACACAGCAACAGACATAACTGTGACTGTCATTTTGCACAAGACTTGCATGCATGAGACATGGCCATTTCAATATGTCAAAACTATCCAATCACTACAAACTTCTAAAACAATGACATTTGAGGTCTACCTATAGCAATTCCAAATTACATATCAAGTTAGGCAGAGAAAGGTTGACACCAAATAATGTCTTGTACTTTGAGGAAAAAATAACAAGAAGAGTGACAATAATGATAAAATGCCATTTCTTTGCTGTGTCTTCATCACTAGAATCCCAAGGTGTATTTATTGACAAGAATAACACCCACCCCTCCCGTTTTTGTCTTGCATTGCTGGAAAACTGACAATCTGAATAATGCATTTAATTCACTTGAACTGAGTTTTAGAAATGAGTTAATGCTCAGCCTCCACTTTCTGACGAATATTACAGGTATTTTAATTATCTGCATTAATTTTAATATTTAAAGATCAACTTAAAATTGATTAAAATTAATTAAACATTTAAAAAACCCTTTATAAATTAACTTGCTGTTTTTCAAGTTATGTTATGAAAACAATGGAATCTTGTTAGCGCTCTCTTAGGATACAGTCTTACACTGTAATTGTGTTTCATGTAGAAAGACTGCCGATGGAACCAAATTTAAGAAGAGTGCATTAGCTCAACTTCAAGGGCACCTGTTGAAATGGCTATAAATCATAAGCATTCAGATGCTGTGATGAAAATAGGAACTGAAAAACATATTTTTAAATCAGGTTTGCAATATATATTAAGCCTTTAACAAGTCAGTAAATGAGTAGAATAATAGATCTGGCATACCATGGCAGCCTTTACTGATAAACAATCTAGGTTGTGTAGTCTTCAAACATAAGGTCTTTGCCATGCAACATGTGACATAAGGAGGTCATAAAGAGCTCTGAGATAGGACTTTAATTTGAAAATCAGTTTTCAAGGTCTGTGTCAGCTGACAACAGTCCTCTGAACATACAAAATGACCCCTCTCATATCAGGGACTATGGCTGAATTAGGTTTGCAGGACAAAAAAAAAAAAAATCTATAAAATGGGACTATGTTTAGATCCCATTTTATATCCTTATCTCACAGGATGAGCAGTAAGACGTTTCCTGCTTTGCGCACATGAACGGGGCCTTGTTATCACCTCGGTGCAGTTGCTCCACCATGTGTGCAGGAGAAACCAGCATAGGCCTTATCAGAAAGCCAGTATACTGACTGGAGGATTCCTTTAAAAAAAAGTATTATCAAATGCGAAATTCCTCTGCATCAGTGCTATCAGTCCTGACAACCCCCAACCCAATTCTTTTTCCTTTCCATCTAAATAAAGGAAGCATTAGAAATGCTATCCAAAAATAGTAATGGCTTTTACATGGGTCAATTTGTTGAAACTTGTTCTAAACAAGTTATCACTGCCATAGATGGTTATTTTATTCTTAATGCTGGCATCCAGTCTGACTTCGATGGGCCTGAAATTCCTTAATAGGCCCAGGTTGACTGCTTGTTGGTACTCACTGATGCAGGTTTGATGGTGCAGGCCTATAATGATTCTACTGACATGGAGTGCTTTCTACAAGTAGGTGTACAATCACAACTCTTCTGGATAGTCATAACTATTTATATGGGTTGTGATAATAGCACCTGGGGACACTCACATGTCTACACACGTTTTCTGCCAAGTCCCACCTGCTTTTTAACATTAAAAAAAAAGGGGGGGGGCTGGTATGCTTCAAAGCAAAGTAAAAGCACTTTTATTTCAAGAATACCTCTACTCCAAGATGGAAGCCATAACCTAAAATGACAGCTGGTTACAACCCAGTGCTTTGCCTAGAAATATGTCCTCATGCCAAAAAGTGTTTGTTAAGTGGACTAGGAGGGGGTGACATATAGCAATCCATTTAATCAATTTATAACTAGCATATCCCATACAATATCCACTTAGTAAATGGAGAAGCCTTCTACCAGCCATTTTTTACAAGATATCTCAGGGCATAATTTTCAAAATCCAGAGTGTGTCTATTACTCCAAAAGGATCAGGGACCTCTGCTGTCATCAAAACAGTGCACCATATATAGGATTGCACTTGAATAATGTTGATACAAATTACTCGATTGCTAACTTAGACAGGAACCAAATCATCTCACTTGTCCTCAAACAACTGTAAAGGGCTGCTGGACTCTTTACAGGTCTGGATCTTTAAACCCTTTCAGAGCTTAAAATTGGGTCCCTGAAATCCTCCCTCCCCAATGTCGGTCTCTATTCTTCAGGGACTGACCTTTACATTAACAGAGGGAGCTGTCTCTGGTGACAGATGTTGGAAGTTGAATGACAATTGTAGCAGCTTCTCCACACTCTCCAATTCCCACTCTCCTCCCGAGCTAACATCTGTGAATTTTTCTGTAGGCGAATGAAGATACTCATTTTATTCATTGTCTCAAGCTACCAAGTCTTGGGCAGACCTAAGTGTTTTCTCTAGACTTAAAGTGCAAGAGATAATAACCAAGAAGGAGAACCTTCTAATCTTCTTTTCCAAATTTCTCCATTTTTTTGAAGTTACATTTGTATAGTCAGTATATTGGAACATCAATGAGAATGGTATCTTATACCTGAGTATTTTTATAAGTTGTATTTCACATGCTTCAAAATATCAGAATGAACTTTATTGCACGTGCAATATACATTTGCCCTGGCTTAGAATAACCATATGTAACGTACTGGGCCATGTTTATAGAACTTTTATTTGCTAAGACCTATTTAAAAAGTGAGTGTGACAGTATGAGAACTAGCAACTTGAATCTGCTCCTTTGGGAAACAAGAACATACACGCTTTCCCCCAAGCTACTAGTTTATTAGAAAGTTTATTTTCCTCATTTTTACAGCCTGCTGTACGGCCAAGG